CCTTGAAGGTCATGGAGGCAAAATGACTTTTTTTTTTGCCCCCCCCCCCTGTATATATAAACCAGAAGTTGTGTGTGTATGCCTGTGTGACCGCTCAAAAATCGGGGGCTACGTGAAAATTCACATTTAGGGAAACGTTTAAGGAACCGATTATGGGTGGGATGGATGTGGCATGGGCCAACATTTGCAGAGCACACACAAGATAGCCTAAGCTCCGCCCACAATGGGCGGGGCGTTCGCCGAAGTGAACAGTACCGAGGACAAAAATTCTCAAAACCCATCCGGAATACCCCCGGGAACGGGGAGTATGAGTGAAATTGAGCAACGGTTTGGCAGATGAAATGACGGAGAGATAACCGCAGGGAGTGTACCAAATGGTTGGTGCCGTCGGCGATAGTTCATTCTTCGATTCCTCATCACTATGGGACTGCCGTATAGAAAATTTTTACTGCTGTCTTATAAGGGGGTGGGCGGGCAAGGGGGGGGGGTATATACAAGAAGTGAAACGGTAAAGTGCGGTAATTCTCAAAATAATATTTTTTCGACCATTCGCCCGGCGAAGCCGGCCGATCCGACTGGTTCCTTTAAAATTTACCACAGCAATAGACACCTCATATCCCGGAGACGAGGAGGGCGTAGCTGCGTACTTCACCTGGATTTGACGGCGACCATGACCACAATTTTGGAGAGATATTCCGTTTTGGACACAATTATAATGAGATCTTTGTCCAGCACGCGACAGGATGACAGGTACCCCAAATAGAAATATCACGAAAAAAACGCATCCCAACCCATATTAGAGTCCGAGCAGTGTGCAGTAATGCCCTCCCCATTTCCGACATATGGAGTACATGTCAAGCGTTCCGCAATTTATGGAGCACCCTTAGTGAATTAGCTGTTCAACACCATTCTGCGCTGTAAATGTTGTCGGAAGAGTGCTGAGCAGTGAGCAAAAGCCTTGACGAAAGCCATCAAGCAGAAAGAAGCGAACTCGGTAGCGTAACGGATAGCGCCCAGTCGGAAGGACTGAGGTGCTAATTCATGTCTCGCATGAGATCAAGGCTTTTGCTTATAACTCAGCACTCCCTTGAGAACTTTTCTTGAGAATGCCGTCATTTTGGAATATCCTTGTCACATAATTCCCCGTATAACTTTATTGCAATCTCGACATGATAAATATCCTTCTCGTATTTGCTCGAACCTGTACAAGGTTAGATTGCTCTATTAGGCTACGTTTCGGCGTCTTCGCCTTGCTCAGAGCCATTAGTCTCTTCACGGTTAAGTGGTTGCAGGGTGGTCAACCTCGCGTCGCGGCGGCCGGTCAAGGTGCGCCAGAAATGCTTTTCACTTAGCGACAGCGTCCACCAGCGACAAGTAGCTTCTGGCAGGGCACGTCATCGTTGTGATAATCACAACGGGGGGGGGGGCTATTTGACCCCGAGGGAGGAGGGGGTCGTATGAAAATTCTCGGCTGAACAACTGGAAAAAGTATTAGAAAGTTGGGAAAATCTAGGAAAGTGGTAGGTCGTATGGGTAAGAGGGTCGTACTTGAGAATGGCATTAGGGGAGATCGTATTTTTCAGGAAATGATCAGAATGCGATGGCGTACCCTGGCGCCCAGCACTTAAGCGGCAAGTGAAGTATAGATACAGAGCTAGTGTCTGTCAGCGTCCACAAGCGTCTCGAGGGCTAATGGAGTGTAGGTATCGATCTAGCGTCTGCCAGCGTCTACCAACTACCAGCAGCGTCCGGGAGTGGAGGATATGTCGTGATAGGAGGGTACCAGCAGTTTGCTACCCTTCTATCCATCCGCGCTCTATCAGCTGTCTCTTAGGCCGCGTTCATGGCTTGCGACCGTGAAGAAATGCAGAAATGCGGAAACTGCAGAAGTGCGGAAAGTGCAGAAATGACGAAAAGCATTACATACGTATCGAAAGAAATGCAGAAATGCCGAAAGTGAAGAAGTGCGGAATCTGCAGAAATGCAGAAAGTGCGGAAAATCGATACGTATCGGTTGCTTTTCGTCATTTCTGCAGATTCCGCACTTTCGGCATTTCTGCAGATTCCGCACTTCTGCAGTTTCGGCATTTCTTCAAATCGATACGTATGTAATGCTTTTCGTCATTTCTGCACTTTCCGCATTTCTTCATTTTTGCATTTCTCCAGGGTCGCAAGCCATGAACGCGGCCTTACCCTCCTATCGCGCCATACCTCTATCAGCAGGCTGTTACCATTCTATCTCGCCATAATCCACCAGCTGTCTGCTACCCTTCTATGGCCCATACTCCCTACTCCCAGACGCTGCTGGTCGCTAGTAGACGCTGCTAGAGCGATATCTACACTTTCCCATCGCTAACGCTGCCGAACGCCGGTGGACGCTGCCGCAAAGTATGAACGCAGCCTAACTCTATTGATCGGTGTCGTTTGATGCTTTACTGGGGATTTTTCATGTAGACTGTAGGGGCGCTTGAGCGGGCAAGTCCGATCTGTTTTTTTTGCCCACTTCAGGCTCTGACGAAGGCGAAGACGCTGCAACGTATGCCCAATAACAAGCATCCTATCTTACACAGGCTTGAAGAAATGCTTTTTCACAGCAAACATTTGCCACAATGCTTTTCCCACTGCCCGCCGCAAAAGCTTGTAATCAATTTGGCTTGGCAGAGAATCCTATTCCAAGCGTAAGGATAAACTCTCGACGTTGTCATTTTCTTTTTTCTTCAACAATGGTTAATGAGAACTCAATATAACTTTTATTGGTGAGCTTTCGCTGCGTAGCAGCTTCTTCAGACCTACAATAAAACGAGCATACAATACTATAAACCTTACAACAATTAAGTTGTCCAGAGTACTAACCAGACTCCCTTCTTAACAATAAAGTTGCTCAGGTCTGCAATACAATTTACTAGAGGCCTATAACTGTCAACCACACTACTACACGCAAACGACCTACCCTAGCGGCACATCCAATACAACTGAAAGTACTCAGCAATGCGACGGGCGTGACAGTTCGAGAGGACATTCTTATCACTTCTTATCACAACTGCTAAGCAATTAGTCGTAGTGCCTCCATTAGCTCGTCCCTGTTGTTTATTTCGGGGGATAAGCGCTTGATAGCGAGCGCCTCGAGCAAGTTTCCTTTCTAATGGACATTCCTTCGTGCGGTTCAAGACAGCAACTTTTAAGCGAGGAGGTGCTTCATGTTGGTGGAAGGTCGTGCGATGCCGTGAGAATCCACTGCTGGGATAGGACGAGGGATTCCGCAACGCTCGTAGGTGTTCGTCCATCCTTTTATACAAAGGTCGTCCTGTCTCACCAACATACTTCTGATTACATCCTTCGCATGTGACCAAATAAACTACTCCTCGTAACTGACAGATTTTACTCTCTGTACAGTACGCACAGTTATTTCGGCCACATTTCTCTTCATATATCCGGGATGATGTCAATATGCTTCTTAGATTTGCGGGCGGTCGGAATATAAGCTTGATCGGAAGATGCGCCGACTTGATGGCGTAATTCACTTTCTTTGCTATTCTCTCGTTCACATACGGTAACACCAGTGGTATTCCTCCAGTAGCAAAGTAAGGTCGCCATGTTCTTGGTTGGCAAGTCGTGTATCCATTTTCTTCCAAGATCTTTGCTAATTTCCGTTCCACCTCTTCTGATTCCCTAGTGCATGATCTCGTCTTCGTTGCGATAAGATTTCTTATCACGTTGGCTTTCATATAGAGTGGATGCGCACTTCGAGAATGCAGAAGAATGTTCCTCGACATCGGTTTCTTGTACCATTCAATTTCTTTAGTCCCATGGCTTATTCGGACCTTCGTGTTGAGGAAAGGAAGAAAGCCGCGTTCGTCTGGATGTTCCACCGTGAAACGTATGTTCGGATCACATGAGTTCAGATTTCGAAGCACATCGTAGCGCTTATAAAACATAATTCCAGCGATCATGATCGCTGGAATTATGTTTTATAAGCGCTACATAGACGATGTATTCGTCGTAAGTTCTACCGCCGATGTGTTGGACACAGTGCTTCGAAATCTGAACTCATGTGATCCGAACATACGTTTCACGGTGGAACATCCAGACGAACGCGGCTTTCTTCCTTTCCTCAACACGAAGGTCCGAATAAGCCATGGGACTAAAGAAATTGAATGGTACAAGAAACCGATGTCGAGGAACATTCTTCTGCATTCTCGAAGTGCGCATCCACTCTATATGAAAGCCAACGTGATAAGAAATCTTATCGCAACGAAGACGAGATCATGCACTAGGGAATCAGAAGAGGTGGAACGGAAATTAGCAAAGATCTTGGAAGAAAATGGATACACGACTTGCCAACCAAGAACATGGCGACCTTACTTTGCTACTGGAGGAATACCACTGGTGTTACCGTATGTGAACGAGAGAATAGCAAAGAAAGTGAATTACGCCATCAAGTCGGCGCATCTTCCGATCAAGCTTATATTCCGACCGCCCGCAAATCTAAGAAGCATATTGACATCATCCCGGATATATGAAGAGAAATGTGGCCGAAGTAACTGTGCGTACTGTACAGAGAGTAAAATCTGTCAGTTACGAGGAGTAGTTTATTTGGTCACATGCGAAGGATGTAATCAGAAGTATGTTGGTGAGACAGGACGACCTTTGTATAAAAGGATGGACGAACACCTACGAGCGTTGCGGAATCCCTCGTCCTATCCCAACAGTGGATTCTCACGGCATCGCACGACCTTCCACCAACATGAAGCACCTCCTCGCTTAAAAGTTGCTGTCTTGAACCGCACGAAGGAATGTCCATTAGAAAGGAAACTGCTCGAGGCGCTCGCTATCAAGCGCTTATCCCCCGAAATAAACAACAGGGACGAGCTAATGGAGGCACTACGACTAATTGCTTAGCAGTTGTGATAAGAAGTGATAAGAATGTCCTCTCAACTGTCACGCCCGTCGCATTGCTGAGTACTTTCAGTTGTATTGGATGTGCCGCTAGGGTAGGTCGTTTGCGTGTAGTAGTGTGGTTGACAGTTATAGGCCTCTAGTAAATTGTATTGCAGACCTGAGCAACTTTATTGTTAAGAAGGGAGTCTGGTTAGTACTCTGGACAACTGAATTGTTGTAAGCTGGACAACTGAATTGTTGTAAGGTTTATAGTATTGTATGCTCGTTTTATTGTAGGTCTGAAGAAGCTGCTACGCAGCGAAAGCTCACCAATAAAAGTTATATTGAGTTCTCATTAACCATTGTTGAAGAAATAAGACGTCATAACATGAGACTCAGGGATAGCTCAATTCTTCATTTTCGTTGTCATTTTCCTTCACGAAAGCGCAAGGCACGCTCTTCCGCTGAGAACTGCCGTGCCTCGAATACGATCTGGAATATACAAGGTGTTCCACGACTAGCCGATGTACAAATCAGTATTTCCATCCTGTCAAACGAGTCCTGTATTGGTTTTGCTGTAGAGCCTGTTTTCCTCGGGAAGCGCGCAAGTGTGCGGCGCCATTCGCCACTGCACCGCCGACTCCCGAACAGAAGAAAAACATAGAAATTGAAAGGTATAAACCTTTATGTTCCAGACAACACATACAGTTCACATTCAGAATTGAACTAAATATTGGTTTGCGAGGTAATGCTAACCATATATAATGATTCTAATAAATAGAAAAACTGAGTTTCCAGAAATACATCGAGCCCCGGTAGCTTCTATAGGGGAATATTTATTAAAAGAATTAGTCGCAAGACAATAAAAGCGAAGACAAATATAAATATGAAACGTCCTTGCAGGGCATATTCCTCCACACACTCTCCAAATTAAGATACAAGTGCTGAGAACAAAAAAAAACCCAAACTATTTGCAGCTCACAGCTCGAGCTGCACTGAAATGAGCTTCTTGTGCTTCCAGACGTGCTAACTTCTCCTCAAGTACACGTCTCCGTCTGGCTTCTTTGCTCTTCAGATCTTCTAACCACGTTTTCCTTTCCAACAGTTTTTCTTTGGGTTCTGCGTACAAAAGAGCAACCAGATTTTCTGTCCTTGCTTTCTGAAAGATTAACAATCATGCTGTCTATTAGTGAACTGCCGTGGTGTTCAAAACGAGAACTTCGCGAAATTCCAAAGATTTTCAAAATGAAACCCCATTAGGAATCAGACTAGAGACATTCCAAAGCACATAAAACTGCTGTCAATAACTCGCATCACCTCGCTCTCAAGTAGGCTGCAGAATTACTCAACTCTTTTCTATTCGTTCATAGCTTAGAATCATCCTCATTCTCCTCAACCCCAATGGGAAATCACATCTATGCACTCACAGCGTTGGAGACAACTTCTCTTCAATGCCTCTTGCACTACTTGCGCTTGGATTTCACGTGCGCTTTCAGAATGGTTGATAGAAAAGGCGCTCGAAAAGCGTAGGTGCGAGCTCGAGGCTGGTGTATTGTTGGCCAAACCTTCACCCGAAAGCCGTCGTCTTCATGGTAAAAACAGGAAGCATTGAATAAAAAAAAGAAAAGAATACCCTCACCAGCGTATCAATAGAAGACGAAATTGAATCGCATTCTTCCTGAAGTTTGTTCACGTCTCTTTGCTGAAATCCTCTTTGATTACGAACTTCATGAAAACATGCTCCTAGTCCAAATCAAAAGCTTAGTGTGTGTCTGAAACAAAACACCTTACACTCTGGATATCCTCATTCCTTTTGTTGAAAGCACGAAGAACTCGATTTAAAACGTGTCGAGGCTTCTGCATCGCTTCAGTGTGACCGAGGTCCTCGATAGGAACACGTGCGGAAGGCTTGCGTTCGTACGGACGATCAACCTTACTACAAATTGTGAAGCAATAGTGAGAAATATAATAGTCATTTAGTCCACAAAAACTACATTTATGGAATCTCGAATTACTTTCCAACTTCGTCCACAAAAGGAACAACAGGAAATTAAAAGAAAAATGGCTCTCTGACCTAGCGGCATGTTGATTCTTCATATGCTGCCTTTCTAATAACTGTTCCCACTCCTCCTTTTGCGATCGCAAATGGTCCATATACGCACGGACTTGTTCTATTCTCTGGGTCAGTTGAGTCACCTTAAATTAGAAGATATAGAGGAGAAATAGTTGAACAATTGAGCATGGAAGAGCGCTCCACAAAGGAATGAAAGACTGGATCTTAAAACAGAACCAACTTTATCAACAGCCGTATTCTGCATGATCGAATCCGATAACGGTGCAGCTACAACGACTGGAGACGAGCCTTCCACCGCCACTCTTATGAGGGATCGGCGACCTCTAACAGAACGACGACGAGTTTTCCCATCCTACAATTACGAGGAATGGTGATGACCGTTACAAAAGCGCGTTCATAGTTTCCAGCAGAGTTTTGAGCGTCAGTCCGTGTTTCAAGGGTTTTATCGTTTTGAGCGATTATGAAAACGTTTGCATCGATTGTTTGAAAACACTGGTGGATGCTAAAACGCTAGATCGATACCAACACTTTCCTAGTTGCCGAAAACCATGGTGGGCGCACAAAACGCTCCAAATCTTGATAGACGCTCAAAACGCTGGGTCGATACCTATACGTTCCTAGTCGCTCAAAACGCTGACAGGCGCTCAGAACGGTGCCGAAATGTAGAAACGAACCCCAACATTTGGTCCACGGATTTTGTCAGTTGTACTGTAAGATACTAATCTCGACCAATAATAAATTTTGAAAACAACTAGCCCCTGGAATGCTGGTCGTCTCGGCGGCCGTAGTTGGAGGGTCGTTTAACTGATCATCGGTATCCATTTGCTCTTCCAAACGATGAGCCTTTACTGATGAATGAACACACAGTGGACTGAAACAAATGCCTTACATATTCAGAAAAACGAACATGGACGCAATGTGGATTATGTCTGAGACCGAACATCAAGCAAATACTTCCCCTCTTCATTATTTTTGGAATGAAAATTACGGAAAATACTTTTGAAACCTATGAGACCTTAGAATTACAGCTCAAGCCTATGCAAAGGGAGCGAATTCGTCCAGGAAAAAAAATAGCTATTCAGTTAGTGGTCACCGATATTAAGCGCTGTCCTTTAAATCAGGAGTCCTCTTATGCATTCGGGCGCACCAGTAAACTTTCAGCAGTAGCAGTTATAGCACACAGTATAGAAGTCCCAGAGAAGAAACACATAAAGGAGTAAACCAAGCTAAACTTAGTCCTGAATACAACGAAGATAAACGATTCAATTCAAACGGTGCTTTTCGCCGCTTTATGATGCAAATGTGTGTCATTACACAAGGCGCACCGGACACGACGTCTCCCTCATTCTGCAAAACACGAGGTTGACCACACACAGCTTTTTGTCCTACTGACGTACTCAGTTGTTGTTGTTTGTTGTATATACTGGCGCTTTAATTTTAATTGTTGTATGTGCACCGGTTTCTTCTTCTTCGGTGACAAGATCTACAGTTTCAAGAGTCTCGGCGGGCGTTGTGAAGTGGCCTCATTAGAAACTTTTAAGCCGCGTTCATGCTTTGCGACAGCGACTAGTCTGAGAACTCAGGAACTGCGTAATTGAGGAAATCGAAGACATTGCGAGAAGGGATGTATTGTGTCGATCTGAAGAACCAAATCGTGGAATAAATAGGGTTTACTAATGCTCGAAAAGGAGAGGATATAGCGGTTCAGATAATGAGAAATCATAAGCTGGGGAATCCACCGATCGTGAAATTTGAGGGCAGGTCGCATGTGTGCATTCTTCGCGCTTTCTCAGGTTCTCCCAAATCCGCAATTTTTTAAGTTCTCCGATTCTTCAATGTCGCGAGGTATGAATGCAGCCTTGTGTACTTGCTATCAGCCTCGGCAAATTTGGGTGGTTTGCGAGCGCCAAAATGTTCACAGAATGAAGTTGACTGCCGTGTTATACTCAACAGTGCCTATACATAGTTCCTGGGTTACGTGTTACTCTCAGCCTTCGATTTCAAAACCGATCACTGAATCCTCCAAGGTGTTTACATAACTGAAGAGACGCAGCTCTTTAACTTTCATGTTATGTCGAACAGGGAAACGCGAAGAATAAATCTGGAAGGCTAGTAATTCCTTACCTGCGGATTTCCCGGGAGCTGTGACAACAGCTTCTGTCCCACGGCTCTCCATCATTAATATCGTTAGCGTTCCCTAAAGTCTTGTTCATACTTCGCGTTGAGAGGGAGGCGGACAAGAGGATCGTAATTGGCCGCGTCGCCGCGCGCGGCGTACCGTCAGTTGAAGGGCGCGGGAGCAAACTGTTTCCTACAGCGAATCGTGGGAATTGTTGCATTTTTTTCATATGCGGCACACATTTCACGGGTTTTTGGCAATTTCCTACGCCGCTTATTGCTGTCAGGGGTGACGATATGGAGCATCAAAAAAACCTCAAGTTCGAATGGCTCAGCCGGAGAACTCATCTATCGCGAAGCGTCGTCGCTCGCCATGCCTGCCAGCGGCCAGTTCCGATTCTCTTGCGCGGCCAAGATTCCCAGAGAATCGGAAGATATTTCTCAGGAACCAGAAGCGCATCGGCTGATGAAACTCGGCCTCCGTGGAGATTACGCGATTGGGGAACGGACGATTTGAAGATCGGCAAGGATAAGACTGCGTTCAGACTTTGCGATCCGATCGGTTGGAGAAGATAAATATCGATATGATTGACTCCGCCCAACAGGGGGAATAGCCTGACCGCAACCCAGGTAGAACTCATCAATACTCTCCGCGTCTCCACAACTTCTCATGTTGTCCTTTTTTTTGTCCAGAAATAACTTTTTATCTTCGTGACCTTCATTGTAAACAGTGCCTCGCTTAAGGGCGTCCACAATTCGCGTTTCATGGCTTTGACCTCGCGAGCGATTTGGTCGCTCGACCAGAGTCATCAGCGCCCTTGACTGATTCGAAGCTGGTCACGCGACGAACTAATCGCAAAGTATGAAGGCACTCTTGCCAATATTTGAGCGATCAACCAGTGCGTAGGTAACGTCGCGTTTATTCACTGCGACACTGAAGAATAGAAGAGTGCGCTCCAAAGAAACCTATAAGACCTAGTCCATACTTTGCGCATGTGGAGAACGCGCGTAGGGAGACAATCGGAGGAATGAAAACATCCGCTAGGGGCGCGTTCAGACTTCGCGATCGCGCGATCCAGTTCGCGCGAAGTGGAGTTGCGCGATCGCGAAGTCTGAACACGCTCTGAGAGTTAGTTCGACTTCGTCCACTAGAAAGTTGGGAGAATTTTCGAATCGCGCACCCTTCAATCCTCCTATTTCGCTGTCCATTGGCGCGCAATCTCCTGTTCTCCGATTCTTCTATTCAGCAATGTCTGCAGTGTATGGTCGTGGTGTGACTCTTTCGTATATGCTGCCATTCTCCTCCTTGGAGTCTCAGGGTTTGAAGATAGTCCATTTCCACCGGTCCCTAGTTATAAGAGATTTTGCCGAAGGGCCGTTCCAAAAGGTTCTTCATTTGTTTTGGCTCAAGATTCACCTCTTCAGCTTATGCGTGCCTTCTTAAACCTCGTGTCCGAGGGTGAGGAGAGGTGGGGGGGGGGGGGGAGGCAGCACTCCCGCTTGTCATTAGAGCTGTGTTCAGAGCGGATGAAGCCGGGAGCCGAGACCGGTTGGCCTGTTTTACCAAGCTTTGAGACAAATAGCGGTGAAGGCTAGGATTGCCTCTGGCTGCGAGAATTTTCGTAGGATACGAACCTTCCTAACACCCTCCTCTGATACGACCTCCTTTTTCAGACCAAATATGACCCCTCTTCCTAGCGACCAAATACGCCCCCCCCGCTGGGGATCCCCACGTGCGACGAGTCCGATTGGCATGCAGCATCTATGGAGGGCTTCACTCGTGGAGGATATTCCAGTCCCCTTTCAGTCGAATCCTGTTGACTTCGGCTTTGCATCTCCTCCCTTTTGTATGTCCACAGTCATATGATCCTGGACTTTTGCTGCGATTTGTAATCGTTTCTGTTACATCGATAACATCACTTCTCTCAAAAAGATGTGATTCATCAGTGTTGAGTACTTTGTTGATATTTTTTATTTTTTCAGTTTAAGCAGAAAATGGATCAACTCTTAGATCTCGAAGCGTTAAAACAATTGACTCCTGAAAAGCAGCAGCAAGTTATTCAAGCAGTTAAGCAACAAGCGGCGATTGCCAACGCACAAAATTTAATCACGGTAATCCATTTTCTTTTTTACGGCAGTGTGATGTTTTCAGAGCGTTTTTTCAACTGAATTTTTTGTTTTTTACTCTCGAATGGACAAGTTGAAAAATGGGTGCTAACGTATTTGGGGGGGCCACGCGGCTCGCGGCGAGTGATGACTCATCGACTCTTCTGCTTCCTCCTCGGCAAAATAGAAGTAACCTCATGTTTAAGACATGGATATAACACCGTCCTAGCTATATTTGAAAGCTTAAGCAGTTAACGCTGAAAAGTGCGAAGAAACAGTTGTAGGATGGAAGATTTTGCCTAAACTACCAACGATTGTTGCCTTTTTGATGTTGACCGTTATTCTTGACTACAAAAGATCAAACATTTGTTCTCAGCTTCTGTGGGATTTCTCAGCAAGTATTCGGTGAATCTTGTTTGTTTTATTCTAATTTTGCTGCTAGATTAGCGCTCTAAGTATGTCAATGAGTGAAGAGCCGATGAGTCATCACTCGCCGCGAGCCGCGTGGCCCCCTCCAAATACGTTAGCACCGCAAAATGAAGTCAACAGAATGTGCGATGCGACTAGCTCTCTCAAGCCATATTTATTCTACCAGTCGGATACCCGGCTGACGCCGGGCTCTCCTCCTTCTGTAGCATGACCCGGCTTCGCCGGGCCATGCGCATTTGCCGCGTGCTGTGCTATTGGGCCATCTCATATAAAAATGTGCAAAGTTTTATTGGAATAAAATGAAGCGGATAACAGAAAAAGTAATGTTTTGGCCTTAAGGTATGTGATCCATCTTTCATCCAAGACCCGCTCCCAGTGTCCAGAGGAGGATTTGGACCTTCGTTTTTCCGTACATGAATCTGTTGATTCATGTTTCCGCGATCGACAAATTATCATAGCGTTTGCATTTAGACTGTGCCTTTTACTGATGAGAGCAGTTGAAAACGCGCGGCTGTAGGTCGAGCGAATAAGGCATCAACCCAGGTCCCAGTATGGCTTGTGTGCGAGCACTGCCCAATAATACCCGGTTCTGGCCTGGCACTAAGACAAGCAATGGCAGTCTCTTTGCATTCACTGAGTGCCATCCATTTGTTAATCTGATTGTCGAGAAACACGCAGCATACGCCAACAGTGACGTTCTTTTCTCCGAATAGAGCTTTATAAGCCGTAGTGCCGAAATCCATCGCTATGGTGGTCACCCGTCTGGACCCTTGTGACTTCTGATGACAGGATTCGGGTTACTCCTCATCTGCATTCATTCAAAGTTTTCGCTCGTGAGTTAGTAGTATAGTACTAGTAGTAGTACTCCGAGTATGAGACCACCCATTTTTCGTTTGGGTTCACGGCATCGAGCCAGTTCCACGTTCATGCGTCCATAAGAAAATGGGGCAGCCAAACGCACCCCTAATTTTCCGAACATAACTCGGGAAACAGTTGCAGCAGGGATGTTTTCTTGTGCAGGATGACCATTATGTGGCCCTCCTCGAGCACAACTTTTTTCTTCTTTCTCATATTTGGACATTCAAACCAGATCCTCTATATTACATATCGAGAACACCATTATTCGCAAGTGTTGGTTCGGCGCAGGATAAATTTGAGCAGCACTTTTCCCTCTTATGACGCCCCATTCCATATGCGGCGCTGATTTCGACCACTCGGGTTTCTTTACAATTTCTCGAGAAGTTCTTGTGTAGCTAGAGTAGCCAGATTTCAGGAATACATAGCTAGAGGTAACAGCTTCCAAACATCTATACGTACCCACGTTTTTGAATGAGATGACCTGAAAAAATAGTTATCATAGTCTGCATGGGAATCGCAGACTATGAAAGCTGCCTTTCATGTGAATGCTTTGAAAGACCCCTTAAAAGTTCGCCACCAGTTTGATCCAACCAGGAAAGGTCAACAGGTCAGCCTGGCCATTTGCAATGAGATGCACATCACTGTACTCATCTTGACACGGTGAACTCAGAACTGTCTTCAAAATTTG